ATTTCACGAGATTTTGAAAGTAAAATAGATCGATACCGCGTTTTTAAATTAAATTTGATATATGAAAATACATTTGATTTTATTATTTTTCAAAGTGTCAGAAATGGATAACAAAACTGCTATTTTCAATGACTACTTATTTTTGTCCAGCTTTAATATCGGTATCGATATCGGTTATCGGCTACATGAGTTTTAAAATATCAGTATCGGCCAAAATCCTTATATCGTGCATCCCTATTTTTAAGAACCCCTGAAGTTGCCTTCACTTGACTTCAGTTGCGGAGGTGCATTTAGGAGCAGCTCGATGGTGGGCAATGCAAAAGGAGCCAATCTAAATTTCACCAAAGTGGAGACTTTAGAGTTTCTCCTTTAATTCACATCATATTAGGTGTGGTCTAGGTCTAGGTCTGTCCGATCGATATTGATATCAGAAACTGGTCTGACATCAGCCAGAAAATGTATATTGGAGTATCTTAGCCTGCTCCTAAAATCTCCAATATTAGAAAATTCTTAGAAATACTTTGCTTCAATCCACGTTTAAAGTTTATATAACTGTCAATGAAATATGTGTCAGTTTTCTTCATACCTGATGTTGTTACATATTGTTCTCTGTTTGGGAAATGTTACTTGATTAAGCCTTTTCTGTCATTCCACCTTAAAAAGATGCTAAAACTATGTGTCAAGGCTCAGAAAAGATGACACAGTTTTTAAAGCAACAGACAGTTTGATATTTCAGAAAAGCTTTATTAAGGATTATTGATCTGCAGGAACCTCTGCAGGAGGAGACAGCAGGTTAGTGACCGCCTCTATCTGACGGAGGATGATAATGAACGTGTTAGTCACTAACCTGATCTTAAAGTTCATGTGTTCTGCTCCTATAATACTGCTGGCAGAGGCTGTAATAAAATATATGAACAAAATAAAATCGTTTCTTTGACTGGTCTTCATAGAAAGAGCATTTTCTTCTTATAATCCCAGAGAATTTGAAAAATTCATTAGATACTATTGTGCTGCAGTTTGCTGGTGTGAAATAAGCTACGTGCAAAATGATTTTCTATGGATTTTGCAGCTGAGCTTCAGATTTAGTCAGTTTGCAAAATGAGAACAAATTTCTAAAGCTTCATCCAGAAGCACCATAAAATACTCAGTTTTATTTAAAACATATAATCTAAATAATAGAAGGTGATGGTTTCAAAGGAAATTACCTCTTTTTAATTAGTCAGTGAGAAAATCGCTAATTAGGAAAAAAATATTAATGTTTGACTTGATTAGATTAATGCTCATGAAAATAAATGAATTTATGTTTTACAAAGTAACTTAGTGTGGTTAATATTTTTTGCTCAGAGATTAATCAAACAACTTTGAGAGAAGGATGTTTCAAATTTTCCCCTTTACTACATTTTATGAGTTTAAAAAAAAGAAAATAATTGAGACTTATATTTGCAATTTTGTTTGCAGAGCATTTTACCAGCAGCATTTGAAATGACTGAGGGTTTAATGAAAAAGTGACATTGCATTATTCCTCCAGAGATAATTATTCCCAATCATCTTCCAAGTGAAAAGTACGGAAGAGGATTAGGGCCACTGAAAAAAAAAAAATGTTAACTGATTTTTTTTTATTTTATTTCAGTAAAGTATGGGGAAAAAAGTCAGAATTCTGGCTTTTTTCTCAGAATTCTGGCTTTTTTTATTGTCAGAATTCAGTCAGAATTCTGAGAAAAAA